TTATTTACCTGACTAATGTTAAACCTGAGTGTCCCCACTAGGGTTGTCTACTTGTTTTGTGTACTCTATCCGCTCCACCGAAAGGTTGGGGTCCATGTCTGTTACTGAGCGGATGGCTGCTGCTAGAAGCTGAAAAATAAGAAGGATGCTATATTATTGTAAAGCTTGTACAAATCAAATGGATTGTTTAATTCATAGACTTAAAATAATTTCTCTTTTAACTCTCAATTTTCATATCTATTTCAAGAATGTTCAAATTGTTATACACAGGAAGCAATGAAATACTGAACAATGCTGACAAAATAACATAGCTTCCGATTACATACTGCGTCGTGGTCAATGTCATCGTCTCCATCTTCTGTGATTATAACTTTCTTTTCCATTCGTGTCTCCACGATACCATTTGTCTCTGCTCTATACTGTAAGACGAGAAAACAAAACGTCAATAATTTGCTTACATCAATCACTAATTACGTAAACATTTCTAGATAAATTTATTTCAATTTTTAAAAATGGTAGAGTTTATCTATAGCATTCACCCCAATCTGAAGTAAACTAACTTCCTAGATAATCATCATATCTTTTGCCAGCTCTAAAATAACACTAAGTTTCTGGAAATCTTTATTGTTAAATTTTTGTTTTTCTTTTCTAAGAAGTAATCAATTTCTAGTTCATAATTTTCATTAATTCTCCAAAATAAATACACATTAGGAAATAATATAACAGATAAAGGGTCAGCCAACACAAATTTACAACACAGGTATGCTACAAAAGTGAAGTCTTGTTAGTCTTTAAATATACTCTATTTTTGGAAGTTAATTTTAAGAAATCAAATTTTCATCTCAATATTCTGCAAATTTGTTGTTTTAGTTTTCTGGTTACAAAATTATCCGGATTAACAAGACGTCACTGTAAAACAAAATTCAATAAACAGGACAGAGGTTCATTTGGCAAACATCACACCAGGTGCTGCAGGTAGTTCAGAACGGATTCGCACAAAGCATGATGATGTAGGTGTTTTGAAGATTTGTTTTATGCCCTAATTATATAAACAATTACAGGGACTGGGGGAAATTTGAAGTAAAATACTAAACAGTCTTCATAGAAATTTATCTATTTTTTTTTCAGTATTGTTTCTATTTCAGGGAAAATGATCAAAATGTTGTATACAAAGTGGATGACACCTTGTCCATGTAACAAGGATTCACATAAAAAGCAAGGAAGGCAGGCAAAAGCTTTGAAGCATGGAATCAAGCCACAGCAAAGATGATAGAGGACAATAATGACACAAGCTTTCATACATATAATACTTGCTGATCTCATTTAACAGTGTGATAAGTTTAGATTCTGAGATAGAATCTTCTGAAGAATATCTGGATAATCTGATTAAACACAACTATCTTGATAGCAGATTTATAGTCAGTGATTATCTTTTTCTCCCACACTTCACACATGTTTTCTCGTTTCTAAAAACAGAAACCTTTTTTGACAAGCTTTTATTCTGACAATGCCACCATCAAGTCATCTCTTTAGCAATGTTGTCACACGTATCATGCGCCCATGTGTGAGAGAAAACATCACTCACTCCCATGTGAGGCAAAGCCTCGTTCTTACCCTAACTTTACTAACATCACACAGAAGTGCTGACTATTAATCTTTTTCCATATATTAAATGTTTCCCCTTAAAATTTTCGACAAATGACTGAACATAATTTTTTCTCAATGGAATACTAATTAGAAAAAAATTATTTTGTGTCTTGAAAGTGTTCAGTTGGTATCTATCACACACTCATACTGATCAAATATTTTCAGGATCAATACTAAGCCTATACAAATATTCAATCATCTAATTCAATTCAACTGTCATGCAACTAATTTTGTCCATCATTCGATTCTTTCACTTTACTTGAGAGGGAACCTTTAAATTTGCTCTCTTCAGCAATTTCCCATACTTTAACAAGGAATTACTTTTCATTATAATGAAGTACATTGTATTAGGTCCAGCATAACTACTATGTTCTCAAAAATGGGGTTAGTATACAGTACAGGTACATATATAATTATGTACCTCTGAATTAAGAAAGTAAAATTATAGGTTTAATATTTCTGTTAATATACAAATTATATTATATACCGGGTACATATACATATTTACTTCCAGAACGTGACTGCAAAAGAGAGGGTGAGACAGGCCTATTGAGACTGGTTGAGATGGTTTTATATTTTTAAATATTGAGATTCATGCCCAACATATACAATGAATGTCGTGATATTCAGTAGTGACATGCCATATCATATAACTTTATATCATATTGATATGTATTACAATATAATCAACGACTTCATATCAAATCACCACCACACTATGAAAACTACCAGACAGACAGACAAGACAGAAACCTTTGGTAATGCATTCATAATCAACTAACATCCACAGTCCAAACAACAGGTGATGAACCAAAGTAACCAGCACAACAGGATTAGTAGTATGTATGGTAATGGGCCGGGCTTAATAGCATGCCAATCAAATCAATTGTAGCCGATTATTTAAGATACTAACTGTTGTTGTTTCACTAAGCTGTGTTCGTGTCGAATGTGACTGGGAACTTATCAATGTGATGTCCTCAATAGCCACCGGAACACCGTCTTTTTCGTAAGTGACTGTTCGCGTTTCTGTTTTTACTATGGGGACATTTGTGGTTGCTATAGGTGTCTCCTCAGTTTCTGGGTCATACTTCCTGCTCTCGGTAGCTACCGTGGGTGGCTGCAAGCACAACACAGGAGTCACCGTGTAAGCAAATCCCTCATCTTTATTGGGTGCGTATATCTAGCTACTAAAACTAACTACTGTTTGTCCGTCTAAACTGCCACAGTATCACCATCTCTTTGAGTGATGTGGCTATGACAAAATATTAAAGAAACAGCTGTAATCTAGCTACAGAAAAACTCCAAAATATCTAACAATAAATAAATCTATCTCACGATGATTATTCTAGAGAAAACGTATAATCATTAGAAAGATCATCAAGAGGTCATGACCTCTTCTGAATTAAGGATAATCTTGGCTATCACTCTGTTTTGAATATTTAACTGGTAACTTGAAATCTCATTTTTGTTGAATGATTCATGTGTGAACAAGATTTTAATCTTTATCAATTTAGTAACTAAAATATCTTGATCTTTGCAGAACAAGCATAACATAATTACATTTCCATTGAATTTTCTTAAGACAACTCGGACCCATCTTTAGCACTAAAATGGTCGGCTTTTGTAGCGACAAGTATATGTACGAGTCCACATCTTCATCAACAATTACCACTTTCGACTTTGATGAAAATACAAAACCTCAAACTGGTACAAATAATGAGCTAGAAACGTTCTACGGTTGCCTTCATTTTATTATGAAATACTTGAGATGTTTGAAGTTGACCAAACATCTCCAGAACTGAAGATACACAAGCCTTTTCTGATAGCCTACATAACATATATTTACTTCAAGTTAAAAAACAAACAATACGCATAAGTGCCAATATTACCAAAAATATAAAAGATCAATTCTCCAATATTCAAAGCAGATAAAAACTGAAGCAAAGTAGGAGAACAGTTGACTGTGCAGATGAAGAATGGCACTTGCTTTATTACACAAGGCCTGTGGTTGACAGTGCAGCAATGTGGACTGATGCATCATAAAGGGATAACCTTCTACCAAGTAAAAACACTTTCACTTTCCATATATATAACATGACCATCTTGGACTAATGGGGTCTAAGCAAAAATAAACTGTCATATGATGTAAGTATTGATTTAAGCTTACTTGCTTTGTTATCTCTAAGTCAATATAATAAAATCAGTTACTTTTTGTTTAGCTTTATTCTATATTTCAACATCTATATAGTATGAAGTTGCTATCTAAATTTTTTATGTTCACCTATCTTTTGTTCTGACGAGATTGCTGACTAGGGTGGAAGGCAGTTGTGACTGGGAGGGATACAACACACACATATAAAGGAATACATGTTAACGGTGGGAATAAATACTATGGTGACAGTGATAGAGCCAAACCAACACCAACGGTCCACACCAACACCAAACCTACAACCCAGGGGCCGTTACCCACCGTCGCTACAGGTTATACCCACGACTAGTAACACTAGTCATATATCAACATGGAGCACTTCTTCATTCCAAATAGTAATACAAATTTATACTCGATTACAATTTTTTAAATTATACCGTCAGGCTTACTCTAACTCTGATCATACAAATTCAATCCTTTTGTTATCAACTTAATGATAAATTATCATGACTGTTTGTCCTCCTGAACTGAAGTGCTGTTATAAAGCGTACTAACAAAGTACTTAGTTATGACCAATGAATGAAAGTTGTAAACCATTTCCATCTTATTCCCTCACCATCTCGCCTGAAGGCAGATATATAAAAGTAAATATAAAGGGTTCAAAGAAAATGTCTTACAAGAGATGCTAGTCTTTCTTCTTCCAATTGTAATCGTCTATCTTCTTCCTCCTTTTGTCTCTGTCTTTCTTCCTCAGCCATCTGGCTCAAGCGTGCACTCTTTGGAGCGACTGGTGGAGGCACTTTTTTACCCAGAGTTCCTTCCCCTTCTGAGTCGTTAGTTGCTGATGCAGGATCAAAAAATGGCATAGATGTGTCCTCGGTGCTTTGTTTCTGTCTTGTTTCCTGTTGATATATCAATAAATACTATAAATAATGGCAAAGACATCATCAAACTCGTCCAAACTTTTAGAATATTCTTTTCAGGACTAGAACCACTTTATAAGAAACAACATGAAACACTGGTTAGCTGTACTTTGTGTTTTTTCTCAGATTCATACTTGCCAACCTTTTGACATTTCCATGGGGGAGATTCCTCCCAATTCCAAACATAATGAAAGGGTATGTATATACCCCCAAGGGAAAACGAAAAATACAACACTTTAAGTTGGCATCTTCTAAGTTGTTCTTTCAGATGAAATGATTAGATCTCAGAATATAGGAATAGTTTAGAAAGTTTACTGGCTGAAAATGTTGAATTTAAGGGTCCAAAATCGGTAGTCTCCCTCCAAAATAGGAGGGATTTCAAAGTTACCTTTTTTACCCACTTCTATCCAGAAACAGTAGATTTATAGGGTAAAAAGTTAAAAACCAGCACCATTTAAATGTGAGTTGTAAAATGTGATATGTAATTGTTGTCAACTTTTCGAATAAACATTTTAGTTGGAATACAGTGTAAAATGATTGTTATGTAAATTTGGTTTGATATAGCAGGGTACAAATTATGAAGCTTTTAAAAAGTTAGCAATCAAACATTTCTTACATGTTTTACATAAACTTTTTAGGATGATAATTTTGATATTTGTCGGCAGACACAATCACTCGTTACCGATTTGATATCTCTGCCATGCTGACATGGCCATACTATGTCTACTGTGGGAATTGCATGCTTCATTGAACAATCAGCTCTACCTTGTATAAATTTGATTTTATATTTTTTTATATGTCAATGGGTTAGGTATCAAATTGTTATATTGACAGGAACAAGATTAAATTTATATACATAAACAATAAGTACATTGAATCATGCTCAATTCATCACTGTGGTCAATCACTGCCAACATATTGAGTTGTGGTACAGGCTCATACAAGCCATCTTTATCTAATCATATATGTCACGGTCATTGTTGCATGAATTTGAAATGTAAATCAATGAATAAAACAATACAGAAAGTTAAAACAATGTTCATGCAAGTGATCAATTTGGTGGTGTGACAAATAACAAAATTGGAACTATTGAGGAACAAAAGGTGTGATGAGTGGAACAGAAAGCTGTCATGCTTAAATGTTATGCTTCTACTTCTTTTAATCACAATTTCCATCTTATAAGAATAATATTTACTTAATTCTGATTTTCAAAAAAAAATCCTTACAAACAAGAAACATTAAGGAAAACTTCTCTTGTCGATTGACCAAAAAATTACACATTAAAAAAACGTGACTGATCTTTCACTTTGAACAAATACATGCTTTTCAATTTTTGTAATTTTTTCATACAATACATTCATTCCCAGATTGTAATTTATCTGTACATGCTTATTTCAATGACGCGCTATCTTGCAAAATTTGTTTTCATCATTACTCAATATTCATAACACATTTGCTGATAGACACATAATGCATTCAACGATTACAAACACTGACAAATCAACAAGGCCATTAGTTGACTATCCGGACCACGGTAGGACCTCCTAACCTAACATCAGTGTTAACTAGCATGACCTCGTCAAGGTCAGTATACAGGACTGTAAGGGTGCTGATATATGTATGTATATACTCACGGATTGCTCTTCCTGTGTAATGTCATTGGTCAAAATCATACCACAAATGAGATGTTTAAAAATTTATGTTATAATATATATATACCAGTAATCTCTTCCCTACCGGTGTTTTTATCAACTTGTTATAATATCTACAGCTAATTTGTGTTGTTCTAATTTCTACACACATGAAAACATTCAAAATGTTTTTCAATTGATTGAATTTTTCAAAATATTTGATTTAGTTACACATAATTGTGTTTTTAGTTTGTTGGTTCTTCACTACAAAATGTATTTAAATGAACCTGCAATTTGCGATACAGTAATTCACTGATCTTTCTTCAAAAGACACATACATAATAATAGACACACTATAGTGATCAATGATCATCACAATTTTCTATTGCATAAACAATCTTAAGAATTGCCAAGATACGATGAAATTTCTAAGGTAATTTATCGAGAATTTGTTTATAACTAGAGAAGTTTAGGGTTACTATGACTGAAATCTACCTCAAAGTTACTTGTTGGAATAAGCTTGTACATTTTTTGATCACATCAGGCGCTTGACAAAATGTGAAATGCACATCCACGATGTTTGGATACTTATATACTAACAGGCTTCATTTCAGGAACATTCCCTAATTTGAAGAAAGTCCTTAGCCTTACATTTTCCACAGGAAAGCATCACTGAGGCTAAGGAAAATTTCCTTAGCTTAAATTTTTCCTTAATAGTGCCTTCAAAAGCTATGGGAAAACAAAATTATGGAGCGTTCATCAAACTGATGCCAGATCTGGTGGAAGTTATATATTTACGAAGTTAACTTAACATTTTATATGTGCTATCAACAACAAAAAAATGTGTCAAACTGGAAACAAACATAAAATACATTGTTTATCGGTGAACAGATTTACGACTTGTGTGGACATCGTTTGACAGTTACTTACAGTAGATGGAGCTGTGACCGGCATAAACTGCATGCGACGGTCAATGGAGCCCTCCTTCCCATACGGCCAGTTACCCAGAGAAGTATCACCTCCTGTGCCTTCTGCGTCTAATCCTCCCTAAAACATAAATCAGTGTGTCAGGATTGATATTTACGCCCCAGAAATTTTCAATTAGGTCACCAATCTTGGGTTAGATAATAACAAAATGATTGGCTAATTTGAAGCAACGCTGTAGCACAGCTGTGTTGTAAATTTGATGACATTCAAGTTCCTATCCCAAGTACTCAAGTTATATAGTACAAGTTGTTTAAAACCTGTTTTTCCCAGAATTTTCACTGTTCGAGAAATTGTCTTTAATATTTGAAAATATTTCTATGAAAATGTTGCAAATTCCTTTGCAGTTAACCATATCTTCATTGTTTCATAGTAAAAAATCCAACAATTAACTCCAAAATATCTTCAGAAGCCATTTGATTTTAACATACATGACATCATACATAAATGCGTTGATGGGCTGATCTAGCTAAACACAGACTTTATATAATTATGATATACACTATGAGTTAGTGACATGCTGATATGGTCCATACATAGTGTAGTTCATCATGCTATGATGTGTCCAATGATGTGTGTATATATAATATCATTATAAATGACGTTCTGAATAATGAAATACCAAAGTTATGATACATTGAAACATTATCTCGAATAACACTTAAATATGAACATATTTCCTCTGTGTAATAGCAGTAAAACTCAACATTATAGTGGACACATGTTAATTCTGACTAGAATATATACAGGATAACTACTTCATGGACATCTAAGAGAGATATATCCCCTTCCTTTCGTTTGAGCAGGCGATCACGGCCTAGTGTAATTATCATGATTCCCTGCCTAGTAACCTAGAGTCTGGTATCACCCAGTTCACCTCTAGTACTCGTGGATGAATTATACTCTAGTATCTTTGAGATGGAAAATACACAGATTTTCTGGAATACATTTTTTTCAAATCAAGATGCAATTAAATGTCATGCTGTTGTACAATTATTTCAATTACAAACATATTCAACGTATTATCACATGCTCAGTTATAATTAACCACAATTATATAAATGTTGTCTACATCAAATCTGTATCATCACACGATGAAATATACACTACCAAATTATTTCAACATTCCACAATTAATAAACATTCAACAAATGTACATACTTAAGTTTGCTTTGTTAAGCAACTACATTTAGTAATCTACTGTCAAATTCAGATGCAAAAAAAGGTAAGCATTGATTTTAATAGTTGCAGAAAGAGTTTATGAGAATCAACAGGTTTGTGCAAGCTTAACTTTTATTTTTTGTTTTCCCATTTTTATTAGTCAGCTTTCCTAACCACTATATACCTGCCTTTCAACATCCAGTGCCAAACCCAACAGCCACAAAAAAAGCCTTTCGCACAAGTGCATATGAATGAAACAACAAACCTCCAGTCTCTCTTGTTAATTAGATAACCCACCTAACTCAACTTTTCACTCCAATATTCAAAATACCCAACCTGTCCCAAGAAGACCCAACCATACCCCTATTTCCATCAAAGGACTCATTATCAAAAAAACCCATTTTGACTAAGTTTTATTCATGTACATGTAATTGAAAACTTGTATGAAGTTAAATAAACAAAACATCCTCGTTTTCTCCTAAGTACACACTCTTACCATGTAAAGACAAATGTACTTAAGTACTGGGGCAGTATGTGTTCAGTTTGGTTAGCTTAATTCTTCAATTCAAAGTATTAAATTGTTTCAGAATTAAAATCAGATTTTTTTGTTTTTATAGCAGATGTAGAGTCAATACTGATTGTTCCTTGTCTTAGCGTTATTGTTTTGATTTCTTTCCCATGCAGATGTAATTTTGATTTTCAGCATTCTTTTGACCAGACTTTTAACAATGTCACCCTCAGCTTCTATTTTTATTGTAAGTTGTTTAAAACACAGCAATACTGGTCATGTCCCAACAGGTCATGAAATAATCATGGTGCAATAGATACAAAATAAACAGAAAAAAGACATAATAAATTTGCTTCATGAACAGAAAGCACAAAAAGAAAAATCACAAGTTTGTAAAGTACACAGTATAGTAAAGAATATACACATGCCTCTAACTATAATTAGAACACTATCATCGGGTAATCATATCATACACATTAGATCCAAGACACAATTATCTACATTGTCATTTACACATGTGCATCATCATCAGTCTCACATCTACTACAGGTTTGTGTGCACAGACAACATTATTAATCTAGATGCAGTTAAATCTGTGTGCTACCGACATCTCAAACAAAACTGATACGAAATCACCATTGGTGATGGAATTAGTTCCAAGTTCACCGAAATCACACCACAAAATCGTGATGATATTGCAGGGAAATTGGTGCAGAAATCAGGTCCAGTAGCAGTTAGATGACCTGCGTGCTGCCGAAATCGAATATCAAGATATCAATCAAAATCGGTGAAGAAATCATACGGTAAATCAACAATGGAAAAGGACCAGGCAGGGTGTTTGTATTGGACAGGGACATGCACGAAGGTGTGTAAGGGCCAAACCTCGGTACTCAACCCCTCCGAAAACTCGGCCAGGGGAGCGCGTGGCTCATGTGGGAAGTGTTCCCCCTCTGAACTGCTAGCCGACGAAGATGATGAGGATTTTGCTGATGAGGTTGACATAGACCTAGGCTTGTCACTTTCTATAGGCTGAAGGAGAACGAAGTGGGCCATTTATAGTTCAAAGTTACTTTATTCACTTCTTTCTACCAGGATGATTACCTTTGTTACATCAAATGAACTACACCACATCTTGTACCAATACATCTGTATACTATTAACTGAAATTTAACTTCATATTATTTCAGTGGTGTTTTTTGACGTTTTACTTCCCTCCCCCCTCCTGGAATATTTACAAATAGCAAAGCTATAATTTGATGAAAGTTAATGTAAATTCCAAATTTTAATACATCATAGTAGTGATCAAAGCTATACAAAACATACGACAATTTTTTATCAACTCTTCCCATCCATGTCAATATCTACAATCTAAACATAATGCCAAAACCCTGGAACAAAAACAATATATATGGAAAATGAAAGTAAACAAAAATTTCAACCATTTCCAGTAACAAGATAACAAACAGGCCTGGTTGTTAGAAGCACTGTTAGCTTGATGGAAAATATCCTTTTTAAATATTTTCAAATTCAATATCATTTATAGTCAAAATTGCTTGTGTCAAGATTTTAAGTGGTAACCTTATTATAAAGACGATTAAAACGGTATAATTTCATTCAGTTAAAATAGAATATATCCTGAAAACCTGAATTAATAGGTTGTTAAGTTAACAGCGCTCTGAACAAGGCCCAGCATGATAGCAAACAGAAACAAATCTATAAATCAAACAGCATAGTATAGATATGTATTTCAAACAGCAAAATATTTCATATCAATAGAATCAACCAATGAAATAAAACAGTACGAATCCAGGAAACAAAAATTGTTTATAATAATAAAAGACAGTCTGTAACACATGCGTCTGAAATTGAAAGAAAACTGTAGTATATTTCTTGTTAGTAAAAGACAACAAAGGAGCCTGGAAATGAGTTAATATCTGTAGGGCAACACATTACCATTATGATAGTAGATAGTCGACGGTGGTATCAACAGATCAAGAAAACACATTCCAATTATGTGTTCCTCCATATTTGGTTAAGACAACCTTCTTTGACGCACGATTAGTGACATGGTATCTTGATTTATACACAAGTTTTCAAAACTTTCTCCTTATGAAAAAAACATGCTTTTTTATATGGACTCAAAATTTGATCTACATTCAAACACATACATAACTACACGAAATTAAAGTATATTTTAGGTTAACTGCTTCTTATATTTTTCAATATCTTTACTTCTGAACTACATCTAACAGAGGCAAGAACAGGGATCCTCCTTGTTAAAATTTTAGGGTTTAACACCATGCCACCTCTGGATAAAAACTAGGAAATAGCTCGCAGGTAAGATTTGGACAATGTTCCCAAGCTGGGAGATCCAGAAAACCCCTACATCCACAAACATCAACTTAAGATGGCTGCAAGCATTGGAGACGTCATGCCTTAATAAGGAAAGCAGGTCAAACCTTGGCTGCTGCAGCAGCTTGCCTCTCTTTCATCTCAGCGAAACCGGGCAATGCCCATCCTAGGCCGACGCCCCTCTGAAATACAACTTATATGTTAGTAACTGTTGCCTTAAGACATTGAAACCGTCACCTGAATGAAATAATAAAATTAATCCTGGACAAGGAACAAATTAAGATACAACAAAATATATCTTTATAAGCAAAATATTTCTGAAGGTTTGAAAGAGGTATTAGAATAAAATAATAATCATAGAATAGGTAGAAAATCCGTGAGAAATAGATACGATATGTGTTCAACATTTAAGATACAGGTTAAGTGGATTTACCAAAAGTTATTTCTGTACAAGACTATAAGAGTGATATTGATCTGAGATGTGAGAACATTATTTATGTTTTATATTTTAGAAATTAAGCCTCAATCCTGGATATAATGAGGATATATCATGCCAGATACTTTCTCTTTGATATTATAAACACTATAGACAATAACTTGTAAGTATGATGTGATGGAGACAGTTGTTTTAGTACTGTACACAAGTCAATAAGACAGATAGATAAAGTAGTCATAACAACACTGACAGCTAGGATTTAACATGCTGTTAAGTTATAGGGAAACTTATGGCCACAAGCTTTACTGGATGTGTTCATCAATTTTACATGCTGTATGATGTTGTTTCCCTTCCAAGTACTGAATCCTGTGGGACAAGTTGTAATCTTAAGTGTTGGTTCAATTTCCAGTAACAATATATTTCTGAGGGGTGTACTTACAATCAATGTCATGATAAAGTGACCTCATTATGTGTTTCCCTGTGTACAGTAAATGTAAAAGTACCTTGTTCATAACAACCCAAGCATTGTCTAATTTGTTATTTATTATGTTTAGGAAAATTAGAAAGATATATATTGGAAAATTCTTTTGATGAAAAAGTACCTTGGTCATAACAATTCAAGCTTTGTCAAGTTACATATTTGTCATGTTTAGAAAAATTGGAAAGATAGATTGGAGAATATTTTTGGTGTGATTTATTGTAGCAGGGATGTTTCGTTTCATATTTAGTGTACTAGTCGTCAATCAGAAATTGAAAAATTCTACAAGCCTGGCCATTATTTTCATAGTAAATATTGAACATTAATTTACTATCCATGGACATTAGGAGAGTACAAGATACCTTTTAGTACATGCTGTTTGTTACACATGATGTTAAATGATATGAAATAAAAATTAAGAAAGATAATATGTTTGACATACAGTAATCAGAATGTTTAAGTGTTAGGGAAAAGAAGAAACGATTTGAAATGAAGAGAAAGAAAACCGATGAGAACATGATTCCTTATGAGTAACAGCACAACATTAAAAGAAGTTGACACTTGTTAGATTCTAGAGAGTAGTAGACAGGATGTCTGAAAGTACTTTAGTTATATATAGTTAACACAGTAAGGCATGATGGAGCAATCACACAGTTTTCTATACTAATTCTGAAAAGGAATCATGACCAATATGATCAGCACACACATAACAAGTCATTCAGTAGGGCTGCAGTCAGCAGGCAGAGAACAGAAAGGAGGCAACCTGCTGTGGACTAACTTTGGCCTCATCTGTTTCTTCTGGCTTTGGCTCCTAGAAAAATAAAGAAACAATCAACATGCCGACCTATGAAAGAAGAAATCCTCATAGTTAAATAAGACTGATAGAAAATGATTATACACTTAACATTAGATCTGATGATCACTGGTATTGATATCTAAAATCTCAGAAGCATGGCTAGTCTTGGAAAAAACTTCCATTGAAAGCAACATAAACATAATTAAAATCCTAATGAGCCCATTAATTAAAGTAAAGAAATGACCATGGTACATGAAAGCTGTGAGATTGCAATAATTCACTGCCCAATCTGAAGACATTAAGGAGACAGACACTAAAAAGCAATAACAACCTCTGGCTCCTGCTGCTCCACGGTAACCAAGGGTTCTGTTGGCATCTCCTCTGCAGGGGCCTCTTCTACCTCTTCCTGGTCACTGTCTGCCTTATTAGCTCCAATAAAGCTAAAACAACCAGTTGTGCTGTCCTTCTTTTTGTCTTCTTTTTTAGGTTTTTCTTTTTTCTCTTTCTTCTTCTTTTTCTCTTTTTTGGCTTTTTTGTCCTTTTTCGTCTCGGTCACAATTTCCACTTCTTCTTTTTCATCTTTTGTTTCCTGAACTGTTTCCTCAGCAACAACCTCAGATGTTGTAGCTACTGCTGGAGCTTGGTCCCCTATGTGTTCCTTTGTTTCCTCTTTGTCCTCTGTCACTTCCTCCTCCTCCTCCTTGCCCCTCCTCTGTTCAAGGGCAGCAGCCAGCTCAATCTGTACCGGGTCGACCTTCACCTCTGTCTCTTCCTTTTCCTCCTCTTTATTCTCTCCCTCCTCCTCCTTCTTCTCTGTAGTGGCCCCATCAGCTTTTGCTTTCTTTTCTTCCTTCTCTTTCTTCTTCTTTTCTTTTTCAAGTCTCTTTTGTTCTTCCTTTTCATCTTTCTCCTTCTTTTTCCTCTCTTTTTCAAGTCTTTTCTGTTCTTCTTTTTCTTTTTTCTTTTCCTCCTTTTCTTTCTTGATTCGTTCCTTTTCTTTCTGTTTTCTTTCCTTTTCCTGCTTCTTGAGCTCATTCTTATCAACTTTGACCTCTTCCTCTTTGTGTTCTGCTACACTACTTGGACCAGCCTCTGCCTGGTCCTTGGGCTGATTCTCTGCCTCTTCATTAGTTACTACCACTGGGAGGATTATTTCCCCTTTGACAACCTCATGGATATCCTCATCTGCAGTTATCACGACTTCCTGGTTTTGTTGCTGGACTGGAGGGGTGTCTTCCTGCCTCATACGTTCTTCTGTGTTGTGTGATGGGGATTCAACTGGTACCACTGTCTCTACAATAGACTCTACCACTTCGGTGACTTTAGGGTCAGGTTGTACCTCTACACTCAAACTCTTCTCCATAACAATGGGCTCCTCTACAGTGGAATCCTCAACAACAGTTTCCACACAAACCTCTGGTGATATAGCAACTTCCTCTTTTGCAGGAGATTCTTGTACAGCCACAGACACAGTTTGTTCTTCCTCTCTGGTCTCTGCCACAATGACCTGATCATTTGTGACCTGAACAATCATTGCATCTTTTGACACCACAGCTTCTTCAGAAGGAACTGTATCCTCTTTTGTTACTGAATCTGCCTCAATCTTCTGTGTATGTTCTGTTTCTGATTCGAAAACTTCATCCTCAATATTTTCATCAGGAATAATTTGTTCAGACTTCTTCACACTTGCCACAACTACAGCCGGTGTTTCCACTTCTACCTTTGCTTCATCTTTTATCTCACTGACATTGACTTCTGTTTCTTTGACAACTTCTTGGTCAGTGACCTCAAAGTCTTCTCCAATTTTGACCTCTGTTTCAGTCTCCTTGACAACCTCCATGACAATTTGCTCCTCCTCTTCCTCAGGCTCAGGAGGGGCAGCCGAAATAATGATGGTGGGGGAAGTCATGGGGGTCTCCTCCTTAACAACTTTGGTGGTCTCTGCCTCAATTGGAGTACACTGATCTAGAAACTTCACTTCTTTTTTTTTCTCGTTTTTGTTGTCACTGTCTCTGCGGGATTCATTAGGGACGGGGTCTACACTACTTCCCTGATCCTCAGCTCCTTTAGTGTTGGTTTCCTGGTAAACATAGAGCAAAGGTCACACATTGAGTGACATCCCTGGTCATTGGTTAGTCATCAGTGGTGGCCATGCTGCAGGTCTATATCATTGGTGCTGTCATGCTGGGGAACTCTAATATGGCAAACAGTTCATGTCACACTGCCATGCCAAGGTAGCCTTGACCTCTGGAGGTCAATTGTTTTTTATTCATCAAGTCGTCATTCTCAGCCATGCTGGGGTGGTAGTAATTGGACAAACAGTTGGTCAGTCATGATTTGAGGTGTTCATGCTGAGGGACTGTACACCAGCAATCTACTTCCTGGTCAACCACTCGACACAAGTGTCTGTTCAGTCATTGGTATATGATTACACACACTTAGTATCTACTGGAATTCATAATGCAGTTCAACAATGCAATATTTCCTTTCCACTCCTACAGACGTCATACGGAGGGGTGAGTAGCCGTGGGTAGCATTTCCATCATACAATCAATGATCTCCTTTGGGGTACATATTGCCATGCCATTCAACAACTGGTGATCTAAACAGGAGTCTCAGAGTCATGCTGTGTTAACACTTACAGTGGTACAACATATACACACATTTAATATGCTTAATATGTAGTTAGAATAAGTATGTCGTAAAAACAATTTCAAATTCACTTTCCTCCTGTACCTTCCCTGGTACATCCAAACCATGCACTGGCAAACAGGGAGGTTCCTAGTTTTAATTTGGAATGTATGCATCCAACATTATGAAAAGTATTCCATTTGAGGTCTCAGATATAACATTAAACCTCCACATGTCTGGTTTTCTAGTTTTGACCACATGCACTGGAGTTAATTATCAGCGGGGTTCAATTACGCATGGCAATCTTTATAAATGATTCCAACACAGACTTGTTTGTACGACCAAATTTAAACCTTAGATTATAAGTGAATGTGCCATGCTGCCTCCAGGGCTAAAAAATGTCTCATAATAAATTGATCTCAATTATAAACATTTCATATTTTGTTCCTCTGCCAAAGCTCAAGTCTTAAGCTCAAACGCATTGCTCCTGAACGGGTGGTATATTAATGCATGCTTTCATCACATTTAGTCAAACCTATTCATGCTACCAATATTGGGCTAGTGCTGCTACTTTTCAAAAAATTTGTATGCTAAATAATAAATGGTCAGTTTTTCAACTGCTGTAATATATTATAAATAGCTTAAATGCATTGAAAACAACATCTCATATATATAATAAATCCATGCAACAAAGCTTTTTTACGACTTGAATGCTGAAATAAAGAAAAAATCATTAGTGGGGTACTAAGTACATAATCCTCCTTCACAACATAAACAGTTAGTGTAACCTGTGTAAACTGAACCTCCGTATTCCAACATCTTGTCTACTCTGAACAGAAAGACGATAAGTCACTGCAGTGTTCAGTTTAGACTGGTTTTAATCCTGTAATTAAAATATAACTTAACAACTTTCCTTCACATCATCATTCCCGACTTTCAATCCCAAAAGACAAAACAAAATCAAACCAGCCAATTAAACCTTAATGTGTCTGAACCTCTTTGTTCACCACCAGTGACCTGATGTAACAGTTTAGCACACCATACAGGACTAAAATTAACCCCAAGTACTATTTTGTTTAAAAGAACAACCACATGTTCTAAACAAATAGACTAACGACAACTGGATATTTTGGGACATATTTTATATTAAAAGCATGCTTTAAGCCAATCGAAAGGCAAAAAAGGAAATAAAATACAAAAAATTGTCCTCATTCATAGAAAAACCCACCATCACCATGTAATATATTATATTGCATTATAATACATTAAGCAGGTATGTAAAAATGCTGCATTTTGTTTAGTAGGTATACACCTTCTACTCTTCAGGAAATATAATTCAGATTTAAAAAAAAATAAAATAAATTGTCATGCTAAATGAAACTATTTTCATGTTAGAATAAGAATAAACAGAATTAAGTTTGTAATGTAATGTTAGTTAATAAAGCTAACACTATCATATTTTCTGTTCAAGATATATGCTAATACTGAATCTTTTTTTGCATATTTCATAATTACAAACCAAAAACCTCTTTTCCATGCATTTTTTCCCCTATTCTAATCTCTTAAAATTGTGAGCTTCCATTAATTTTTTTCCTGAATTGTTAACTATTTCTTGAAGAATTGTATTTAAATGCAATTTCTGTTTTGCTTCTTAGTCTTCCTTTTTAAATGTTAAAGATAAATCCTGCAAAAGCTTTGGGGGAAGAAGATAGGTTATACACACGTTTCTATCTGGAAGCCACCTTGTCCCAGAGAGGAAGGGAAAAGCAAATAATCTGTACATTATCCATCACACAGGATCTAGTGCACACCTCGAATGTACTGAAGTGTCTGGAACCATTAGTGCTTGTACATCTAGAAGATATTTTGCACTATATTTGCCAATGAATATACATTGTCAAGCAGATAACTGACAAGATTAATCTGTTGGTTTTTTCAAGCAGATATTTGGCAAAGATTAACCTGCAAGTTGAAGTTGCCCTCCGGTGTTGGTGGTTCTACATTGACTTCAGGGGGAGGTGGGCCAGTCGGTGACGAAGGCTCACTGCCCGAGTGCCGATTTTTGGAGTCCTTTCGTTTTCGTCCCAGAAACCCTCTCCCCTTCTTGTCCTTATTCTTATCTTTATCCTTGTCTTTCTTATCTTTTTTGTCTTTTCCACCCTTTTTGCCCTTCCCGCCAGGAGAAACAGGTTCTTCAACTTCCACATCATGTTTGTCTTTGTCATCAAGGTCATGTTTGTCTTTGTCATCAAGGTCATGTTTGTCTTTGTCACCAAGGTCATGTTTGTCTTTGTCATCAAGGTCATGTTTGTCCGTGTCATGTTTACCTTTATCGTCAGGAACATTCTTATCCTTATCATCCTGTTTGTCTTTGTCGTCATGTTCATTCTTCTTATCATCATGTTTATCTTTCTTGCTCTTTTTGCCCTTTTTGTCTTTCCAGCCAGGAGAAAGGTCATGTTTGTCTTTGTCGTCAAGGTCATGTTTGTCCTTTTTGTCTTTCTTGCTCTTTTTCCCCTTCTTTCCCTTCCCACCAGGAGATACAGGCTCCTCCAGGTTAACTTTATCCTGGTCATCAAGTTCAGGAGTTTTCTTATCCTCATTTTCTCCGTCAATATCCTTATTCTTCTCATTTTCCTGTTTTTAATTTTTCAGGAAATTGGTATTTGAATTAATCTATAATTTAACAAATACTTTTAAATCTAATATATTAAAACTCTATAATTTTTCAAACCCAGCCTTTTGTTTTTGATAGAATCCATGTCTTTAATTGAATACCACAACAATTTTTTTTCTTGAAACAGTAACAAGTTACTGTTCGAATCTTTATACTATTTTAACATCTTTTATGACATTTTCTTCAAATGAACTATAACAATTCTTATTTCAGTGGTATACATAGTAATTATTGAGTAATATGGAATGTAGCAAATGATTATTACAGTTTGCTGGAGTTGGATCTTTTCTGGGTCTCCACCCTCAGGAGGAGGTACAGCAAACACCATTCCCTCCTGTGTAAGCAAGTAGGAAAATATACTCTATTCAACAACCAGTTCTTAAACCTCTTTGTGATGAATGAAGGTCAACAGCAAGACACAATTTAGCAAATTAACATTGGATTAATTATCGTTAAAAAAAATTAAATCTAGATAGCAACTTTTTAACAAACTACATCTAATGTTTCTTAAAAAGCAATAATAACTTAAGTACTTAATTGAAGTAAAATTGTAAAATAAATGATCAATCAATTGATGCTGATAAAGATCCAAGACCCTTTCACTTTAATTGCAGAATCACAATAGTAATTTTGAATCTGATATCAATATAAAAGTGATTTTAGATTCCCTATGTGGACATGTTGATGCGGTCGTAATGTCAAGAATGGGGACACTTTGTTTGCCAGCCAACTTTTAAGTACCACAGTAAAAGAGAAAGGTTTCATTCAAATTTAAATGGCATTAAATATTTCACAAATCATGAAAAATTTCATTGTGTTTATATTTCGGACTTTTTTTCTAAATTTAACAACATGAAAGTTCAGTACTTGTTTTAAAAAAAAGGAACAAAGTTTAAAAAAACCAAAAAAACTTGTGTTTTAAACCCCATCACCAAACAGTAATTCTGTATGAAAACCACCACACTTCAGGATATTATTCACCATATAAATGACATCAAACAATGATTTGTGAGACTGATTACGTAGCTTGTAAACATGATCAATGTCCAAAACCACACCATTTTGGATTAAACAACAGCCACAAACTGACCCATACCACACACATAATGGACAACCACTTCCAGCTTTAACCACTGATTTACATATCCTTTAAAGAGCTTTATCTGACCTTATCCAATTAAGGAACAAAGAGTGTGAAAAATTATATAAATACACACATCCAGTGTTAAAAGATAACAAAAGATTTTGTGAAAATCGGCATTCAAAAAAATAAAGTATAGATCAGCCAAACAAATCATAAAATTATGAAGAAAACACAAATTATATGAAAACTTGCAAACAAGTTAACAAATGTTTATTTTCTACAACTGAAATAAGATATTCTGAAAAAAAAGAGAGTTTAACATTTAATGTTTTGGGAAAAACCTTCATTTTGTCAAAACTCACCCTTGGTAGTGTTGCAGCGTCACTGTAGCCGTCTCCTGGTGCGTCTTCCGTAGCAACCCCTTCACCCTACAATCACCAGACATGTACATTTAACTGTCACAGCACGTTCAAATCTTCATATCTATTACTTAGCAATTTTTAGGCAGTGATATGTTTTTTCACAAGCAAGCGGTATGTTTAATTTCAGAATTTTAATTTCTAAACTATGGCAGGCAAAGTGTAAGGTTGTACACAAAAAAATAATCCATTTATGATTAACATTGTAATCTTATAATTACAACCAATCGCAATAAAACATGGATATACAAGGCAAAAAATTACTGGTGTGTTCAGATTTATTACCAAATAATATTAAAAGAGTAGGTAGACAGGTTAATTATTTTTATCTTGAAAGATATTTGCATTGATTGTAAAGACATGTAGAGATATTTACATTGTTTGTAAAGACATGTAGAGATATTTGCATTGTTTGTAAAG